GAACAACAGGAGGGAACAGCTATGGATAACTCCTTGTCCCCCTACCAAACTGGTTCATGAGCAAATTCGAAACGGAAACCAAACAAAAGTCGAAGTATTTTTCTAGGATATGGCTGAGGTATGTGAATGATTGAAGATGTTGTTTCCTTCAAATAACAGATTTCCATCAATAAAATTCACGTATGAGTTAAAAATAAAGGACAACTTCCATTTCTTGACGTTTTTGTAATGATGAGCTAATGTGGAAGGCTAGAATATGATGTATTTAGGAAGGAAACAAGCACTTATAAGTACTTTTTTTATTAAACAAATCTAAAGAAATGAACTTTAAACGGTTCAAGCCAGTCTCGAATATACCTACACAGTAGGTTGAATGGACTGGCGTCTATCACTAATTCCCTGGCTAATACCACGAAGGGCGTTGGATTATAATCCGACAAGCGTCAGTGCAGGAATCTTCACAGAAAATTTCCAGCATATGCAATTGGCAATACAACTGAAAGAGTCGACCTTCAATTTTGGAGAATACTGAATCCGAAATACAGTGGTTTATTGCAATTCATTTTCTTTCTTATCAGTCAGTGGGCTATGCTTGAAGACTGGCAGTAAACAAATCTAAAGAAATGAACTTCAAATGTTCAAGCCAGTGTCGAATATACCTACACAGTAGGTTGAATGGACTAACGCCTATCAGAAAACAACTACTCTCCTGGCTAATACCACGAAGGGCATTGGATTATATCCGATTGAAGGTCGACTCTTTCAGTTGTATTGCCAATTGCATATAGGAATTTTTCTGTGATGATTCCTGCACTGATGCCTGTCGGATATAATCCAACGCCCTTCGTGGTATTAGCCAGGGAAGTAGTTGTTTTCTGATAGGCGTCAGTCCATTTAACCTACTGTGTATGTATATTCGAGACTGGCTGTTCACATGTGGATAGCACAAACGTACTGGGCTGAATTTTCTAGTGCATAGTCTTTTGACTTTTCCACTCACACATGAGAGGTTCACAAAAGAAAACCGAACAATTCAGGAAATTACAGTCAGTAATGGTTTCTCGAGGGGCATTGTAGATGATATTATAAGGAAGAAAAAGTTTCCATACCACCAATACACGAAGAACTTTGGAAAGAATTTCAAGGAACTAGGTGAAAGGTGGTATTTGAAACAGTCATACAAGTTATGAAACATGACAACTATCATGGACAGACTAAAATATCTGTTAAAATAAGATATAAGGAACAATTAGCACACCTAAAATATTGAAAACCATAAAAATCAGCAGTCACCCATCATATTTTGCAACAAAAGCATTTCATAGACTTTAGTTGAGATTACCTAGACAAGTTAACGACAACAGGCATCTAGATGCCTACGAGAGTCTAGAAATAAGTAAACATAATAGAATTATGAATAACGATGGTGGACCAATACCTAATAGTATAATATATAGCTTTTGGAAATGATATTTCAATCATCAGATTTACCTGACTATTACATGAGATCACATTGTAGGTAAAATCAATTCAAGACTAGTAGATAAGGCGACATTGTAAACTTAATTTAAGATTATTGAGACGCAGGTACCTAGCACAGGTATCTATGGTATGAATAGGAATAACATCATATGTATATTTAGTTTATTCTTCCTCTTGAAGATGATCACTTGGTGATCGAAACACGTGTCGAGGTTTCGAAATAACGGATTGGTGTTGGGAAAAAACTCAAAAAATATTCATCATTACACCAAAGGTTCCAAACAGTGCATCACAAGAAGTAAGATCTTGTTAGTCCTCACACATTTTTGACTTCTGAGGGTTGTCGTTCGAAGGGGTTCGATAGCTGATTAACGAAAACACATATTTTAAACAACAACAACAATGTAACAGTATCATCTGAATTAAATTTCAGTTTGTGGGTCTTTGAGAAATTGTAGGTTTTTTTCGTCTAGATTCATATTGGTAATGTTACTTACTACTCTAGGTGAAGGTGTACTTGTGAGCTTGTCAGGTGTACTTGAGAACCCCGTCGAATAAAAAAGTTGAATACATTAAAGGTCTAGATCAAAATCCTTGCTTTAGTCGTGAAATTTGTGGGGCGAATTCATGATCTGTGCTGTTTAAAAATATTTTTTCCGTTAATGATGAATCAATATTTCAGTAAGGGAACCTCGGAAATAATTTAAAAACCGTTCAATACGCCACTGGATCACGCTGGTAGGCCAGTTAAAGCTGGATTAGGCTGAAGGTAGGGAATTAAAGGAAGCTGGGATTAGGGACCCTGGCCTTTCCTCCCGCTTTGAGACGGGAAGTAGGAGATTAAAGCTCGCGGCGGATTAACATTTACGGGTATCAAATATAAAAGAAAAATTGAAAATATAACTACGATAAATGTCGCTTTCATTGCGCTGCTTTAGATTCGAATGACTTGACTGTGTTCGTCCGAGATTCATCTTTAATTTATTTAGAGGTCATGGATATTGGTTTCATACTCCGGAAGATCGGACTGAAAATTCAAAATATACAATTCCTCTTTGAATAGTGAACGGAACCCACTTGAATTAAATCGAAAAATCTTCCGAAGAAAATATGTCCTTCTGAGGAATGTTTGTTTTCGTATGACCGTTCTTCAAAATGATTTTCTTATAAGATTCAGAAATTAGTAAGCTTTACAAGTAACAAGCAGAAAAAATATCCCAGGTGTTCTGAAACTTCAAAAGATTTTTGATCTATTCTGATTCGAAAGGCCTTTTCCATAAACAGATCGTGTAAAGAATAATTGACAGATGGAGAATGAATCTTTGTAATTTTTTCTCTGCTGATCCAAAATATGCTGCAAACATTTGTGAAGAAAATTCTATAACTGATTAAACCAATGGAAAATAGAATGAGAATCCTAAAACAAATATGCATGCAGCCATCATCCTATACTAAGTTCTGTCCCACTCAGAGTTGGTTTCAAAATATTAGCTAACAAAAAAAACAGACTCTACGAGTCTGTTTTCGGGAAGAGAAATGCGAAATAAGATAATTGAACTGTTCAACTCTTTCTGCTTATTTAATTTTTTGTCGAAATCATTTAAAAAACAATAATTTCTTTTATACAAACTGTTCAAAAAGTATACCAAGAAGACCATAGTTACACAATGATTCAGACTTAGCTCTATATTTTTTTGGCTTATCTTGAAATTAAATCAAAATTTTGGTGATTGAATCAACATATCTGTTCTACCATAAGAAGGTACGAACGACAACTCTCAAAGGTCGAAACTTGTGCGAGCTAAGGACTAACGAGGAATTACCTTTGAACGTGTAATTCCTTACACAAGTTGGACGATAGGAAGTGAAAATGGATCGTCCGACCTCGCGGCTCGAAACGTGCGATAGCAGGCTGTACCTATCATCTTCATGGATTATTCTTTCCTTCAGTTGCTCTATTGAGTCAGGTTGCGTCTTTGAAACAACAGATTTTAGGTTGCCCCAGAGAAAGAAATCAAGTAGAGATAGGTCCGGGAATCTAGGAGGCCATTCAATAGGACCTCGTCTTCCAATCCATCGATTAACATAATTATTACCAATCCATTGTCTAACTGGAACTACATAATGAGGAGATGCTTCATCCTATTGAAAATTTAATAAATTTTCTTCTGAATGTGTATGTTTCTCTGATTCATTAACTATCCGAGGTTCGATAGATCTTTCTAGCATGTGTGCATACATTTCGCTATTTAAATTTCCTTCTATAAATAATGGACCAATAATTGCATCTCCCAATATACCAGCTCAAACATTAACTTTTTCGGGGTATCAAGTATGTCCTTCTCTACATAGTGGTGAGTTCTCGTCACCCGTAACGACAGTTTTGTTTACTTGCGATGAAAAATGTCGTCGTCACTAAGTTAAATATTTTTGATCAGCCGGGGTTCTGCGATAATTCTAGCTGTCATTATTTCACAAAATTCAATTCTTCTGTCGGGGTCATCGTCACCAAGTTCTTTAAAGATTTGTATTTGATATGGATGAAATTTATGTAATTTGAGTACTTTCCTTACAGTTTCGCGGGATAATCCGGTTGTTCTAGCTTCCTGACGAGTGGATGAAATATGATTCATTGCAAACTGTCCGAGTACTTCAATTTGCGTTGCTTCGTTGAGGAATCTTGGGTGATTCGTTTTTTATTCATAACAGTACCAGTTTCTTGAAATTTGGTACTAGTTGGCGAATGCATGTCAGCTGTGTTGCAGATAAAAATTATGTTTCTCGTGTACAACGTATTGAAATAAAAATGAAATGTAATAATAATAAGAGTGTCGTTTCCCATCTTGAAGTAATAAATGCAATACAAAAATACCTCCCAAAACGAATATTTCAATCACCCCTTTCTTGTTATCAAGTACGTCAATTTTTTCAGGTACAAATTAACAAAAGTTTTAATGTTAATGCTATGATGGTAATAAGAATGTTCTCTAACATTTCATTAATTAATAATAGAAAATAAAATTTCAATTCAAATTAATAGCGTTTTATTTAATAAACCAAAAAAACTTACTACATCGAATATAGCTTTGTAGGGAACCATTAAAGGCATCTCTTAAGAGCTTTAAGATAAGGTATCACAAGTAGGGGGTAAGTGAAAACAAGTTAGCTATTACATCATTTTGGTTCCCTCCCCCTCCCCTATTATGGGAGTTGTTTTCTGAGCGATTTCTTATATTTCATTTGGTTGCTCAGATACAGCCATTGTAAGTTTTCAAATTGTCGGAATATTTTTTGAGTGCACCCATTCATTACTCCACTTTAAAATTTATATAGGGCCTCTTCTCGTTTTTGTGATTTTCAAAACCTCAGTTGAATTAGTTGTATTTTTCTATTGTTATTGTCTTGTTCTTCATGAGAACATCTGTCGAAACGTTTTAAAAAACACTACATCAATGACTTCAACTTTTTAAAGATAATAATTTATTATATATCCTTGATACTGATCTATTTGTACTCACCAGATAATGAAGTTCTAGTAGGATCGAATTCTTCTTTAATTGACTGAGGGGATACCGTATTTTCTAGAGGTGTAGATGACCTTGCTGGGGGTGGTGTGATTATTCTTTCGGCAGATTCTCGGCTAGACCGTTCCGTTACTGTTGTGTTGGAGGTGGGGGTGGGAGTTTTGCAGTTTCTTGTCAAGGCCAATGCTTGACTCTTGAAAAAAAAGGAGAAGTTACAAATTATATCATGATATTATTTTGGGATGAAGGGGTACTGTCCTAAAAAATACCAACACACTGAGTATGTAGATATTGAGGGTGGACGGGGATATTAAGGGTGGACTATTTGAATGAAATATATGATGATCCTCTTAAAATAAGCCTTAGTGATTCACTGAAAAACTGAAAATTTGGCAACATTAAATGGGATACCTTGTTCAAATAGCTCCATCATAAATGTATTTTGAATATTTTCGAAAATTCCAGGATCACTTTCTGCAAAGGTTTTTTATATCAAATCATTCAAATTTATATATACTAGCCGTCACTTAAGCAATGGACAAATTAGTAGTTTTGATTCACGCAAATACAATTTACATGGTCCCAATTGAAAAAATGTAAAATGCGATTTTTACCGGTTCAATTTAACATCGAGAATACTTCAAGATTTCTATTCGATTCATTCTTGACCAATAGCCAATTCCATCCAACCCTAATTGTATGCGTCTCTCAAATCTGGCTAGTTACTAGCTATGTGAGCGCGTTTAATCTGGGTTAAGTGGGGTCAAAAAGCAACTGAATTCCTGAATGTTATATCTATCAATTATTACGACATGCAATTGGGAGCAAATCTGTGCGAATTAATAGGGATCGAGCATTGTACGACACCTCATTCGTTTAATCAAAAGAAAAACATATTAATTGCATTCACAACTCTATATTGACTCCTGGAATAGAGTTTCACGTGTTTCATGTTTTTCAATAATACGAGGCGGCCTTGAGTATTGTAGTCAAATTTGGGTTTCTCATCACGTCAAATTTAATAAAATCTTTGAATCAATAGAGAAAAATTTCCTAAGAAGTAGTCGTTATGAATGAAATGGAAAATATCGCTAAGGACATCATGATTACTTTACTTCTTCAGCAAAATAACTCACCTGAAATGATTGATTAAATTGTATAAAGAAAAGGTTGGCTAAAATGAGGAATGAGGATTGAAATTTGTAGGAGTGAATGAGGACGAACAGTTCATCTAGAGTTCAGTGGAATGAGCTCACCAATACCCTAATAGTATTTACATTATCCATGGTGTATTTTGGTCAAAAGACCACTCAGATTATGCTCAGCTTATGGTTTCGAAAGTTATTCAGACTTCCTTAACTTATTGAATCAAAATAAAAAGGCCAATCATTATCAAGATGATTTATCTCCTCCTTGATTGAGTTACAGTTGTATTTGTTGCCTTTGAAGATTATTGACCGACATTCGTTGTAACAAAATGTCTAACGTTTCTTCGATACGAATCGTTGGAATCTTCAGGAGTGGATAAATTTTTCTAAATACCTTAACCGGTAGTCTGCCTCATACTTTTGAATCCTATCGTCAACCCAGCTTTTGTGGTTCCAATGGTTCAGGGTATGAAATGCAAAGATCTAATCTATTCCTCAGTGGTCTCAGGTAATCTTTGGATTTTTCTTGTGAGCTTAAAACAGTTTCAATGCCAAGTCTTTTGAGTAGAAGACTGTGTATTCCATCATTCGGAAGGAACTCGACAGAGTTTTCATTTGCTTTTAGCTTGAATGGTGTTCAAAATCCAATCCATATACATCGATATGAGTTCGTATACTATGGTGTATACTATGATATACATCCCTCGTTTCTGGTAACCGGTACTAGTTTTTTTTTCTCCCCCTTTATCGTTAAGTGGATCCAACATTTCATACTTTTCGTAAATGTTAAGAAATCGTAAAGATTATCCTGCTAAAAATGCTCACCATTTATTTATAATGATAATAATAATATCGTTTATTATGTATAAAAATACATTTATATATAAAAGGAAAAGGGTTAGCCAAAGGCTATCTTCCACCCCTCCCAAAAATTATACAGTGAGTGTAAGAAAATAATTATAAAAATACTTATTTACTATCATAACAATGATAGAGAAGAGAAAAAAATAATAGATCATATAGTTGCTAATAACTCTTAATATTCTTAACATTATTTTGGTTAATTTAACAATTTCATTGAACTACCGTACATTGAATTTTAAATCTTTTAAATTAGCACTGAGCAGTAAGCATCTGTGATTTTATTTCTTTCTTAAATTGATGAATATTATGATTTAAAAGTGGTAAAATTTCATTTAGATAGAAAGGGGCTATATAAGAAAAACATCCTTGAAATTTGGAAGTACTGTGTCTAGGTATGTTGAATGAGTTAATTCTCAACTTGACCATATGTATGTCAGAATGCCTGCTTAGTAAACTATATAAACAACTAGGTGTTTTAGTCTGAAGCAACTTGAATAAAAACATTTTTATCAAATATTGGACTCTGTACCTCATATTCAGCTCCTTCATTTTTAACAAAAATGGGATGACATGTTCACCATATGGTATACAGCATACGAATCGCATGTAGGCATTTTGTATACGTTGTAAATTTTGTTTGTTATATTGCGGCAAAAAATTGTAATACACCGAACAACAATACTCGATTTGAATAAATATGATACGATATAAATAAGAGTTTTAACTAACCTGAGTTTCATTTCTGATTTTCATGATTTTCCATGATTCTCCGAGTATAGGAATGTTTTGTGCAAATCTGTGTTTATATTGGCAACGCAACTTTCTGTATCTGTTATGAGAAGACAAATATAGCTGTATATCATCTGCGTATAGATGTACTTGACAATGTGATAAGAAAGTGGTCTAATCAAAAATAAACACTGAAAACATCAAGGGTCCTAAAATACTTCCCTGTGGTACACCTGAGACTGTTTCTTTTAGGGATGATCATGAGTAATCATCCAGTTTGACTCTCTGTGATCGGTCTGTGAGATAGCTGGTCATCCATTTAAGAGAAATGTCATCGAATCCTATACACTTGAGCTTGCTGAGTGAATCGAAATTAACTAAATCGAAAGCTTTACTTCGGTCAAGCAGCACTGAAATGGTGACTTTTGATTGATATCTGAATCTCGCAAGATCGTCGATTACTTTCAAGAGGGCAGTCTGTGTTCCATGTTTTTTGCGAATCCCAGACTGCTCGTACGGGTTTCATCGTATTTTTTCAGTTCGTTAACCATCTATTGTATAAATTCACATTATTCAGACCTAGTAAAGTAATTTTCTCCATTCTCCTCTGGTTTTTGTCAGTCGCTTCCAGTTCTGTATTCCAATTGTTCCAACATCTCTTTTTTCATCTATATTTATGACGGTAGCCAAGTCAGTTGGTATGAGTGGTTTACTCAACTCAATCTATCAACCGAGAAGCCGAAATCGCACTCAAATAGTAAGATTTCTTTAATTCTTCGCTCGCACAAGTTTCGACTTATGAGGGGTGTTGTTCGTAGGGGACGACAACTGGTTAATGGAAAAACAGATTTTTACAGAATGAAGATCACTTGGTTCCCTTGCATCAGCCTGTTTTGTATCAGATACTGCTATCTGTAGAATTATTCAACTCCAGCTATTTGAAGGTATCGGCTTCTTCGATTATTATCCCTCTGTTTGTACTTCTATCACATCTCTTCAAAATTCGCTGTTCGTCTACTCTAGATATTTTTTTGTTTATTGATTTCCAAATGTACTCTACCAGTTATTTCACCAAAAGTCAATTCTGTTAAGCTTAAGAATGTTTCATTTATTACCGGTTCTGTCATTGCCTCTTTGAGCTATGCTGTTTTAATCCTGCCGCATTATCACTTAAAATCAGTAAAGGCCACGAATGTGTCGATACTGTCCGTCTATTATCACTTCAAGTGTCCGTATTAAGAGTTTCTGAGTATTACCCCAAATGCGTCAACACCTATTATGCTTTCTGTAATTTAAAAATTGTCCATTACTGTGCAGCTTTTTATTCAACATTCTTACTATTCCGTTTGTAAAGAGACCTCAAAAGCATCAATTATTTTCAGGAGAATTCACAGTTGGTAACCATGCGCTTTCTTTGGAGATACAGAGGGTAATTATATAGTCGATAACCCTACCGCTGGATTCTTAAACTCTCCCCTACATAATACACTTTCTGAATGCTCAGATATAAGAAGATCTAAAACTAAATCTGCATGACTCATAATGCCTTTAATCCGCATATAACAAGCATTTGTGTTCCCGTTTTTTAAGCTGCATTCTTAGTCTTTGAAATTAAATAAGCTCATCAACCTCAGCTTTCGTATAAACTTACAGAAATAATCTTCATTCGTATACTTCGCTGGATTACGTTTTCAAATAAACAAACGCATTTTTGTTTGTCTGTTCATTTCTGTTAGCGCGGTTCAGTGTACAATGTCGGAGAGAAGATCGCTCAATTCATGAACCCGTAGACGTCCATGTTGAGGCATTTATTAGCAATCCGTTTTCGACGCTGAAACTTAACGAATATATTTCAAAACTGTCGGTTTATCATTTGAGTTAGGATTAATCCCAACAGTAGCTGAATGGAAGCGTGTTGAACATTCAAACTCGTAGTTATAGCCCGTTCGCCGAACAGATGGAGTAGTGATATTGTGCAATTTGCGTGTCCACTACAAAGTTAACCAAGGATCAAAGGCTAAAATCCGTCGACCATTAATACTGGATCTGGATGAAAAATGGCACTTTCAGATTACGCTTTTTTACAATTTTTTCTGTTCACTCTGTTCACTATGTTCATCATAGACAAAAAAATTTAAATTTACCATTCAAAAAAAGAGTATTTCAGTAACAAATTTCCTGTAGCTGACAACAAATCTAAAGTTGCCTGGAATGTAATTGAACAGAATATAATATCCAATAATATGAGCAATTGTTTTCCAAATTATTTTGAAACTGATGATGGAACTCGGATTCATGGTGGTCCTGTTATTTCTTGAGTCTTTAATGATTATTTCATTGAATCTGTAAATTCTTTAATTAATGATTCTGAGCCTGATGGTGAACATCATCACGATACAAAAACGAACTCTTTTTTCTTCATCCTTTAGACGAAACTGAACTTCTTGATATC